TATCCAGCTGTGGAAACCCACAGTAACCTATAATTAAGAACCAGTTGCTAATAAGACACTTAGAACCTGAAATTAAGAGCAAAATAAGTAGAGAAGCTCCATGACAACAGGCATAGTTGCTGATCCTCAGGTCCCTTCATCAAAAAGAAGAGTTTGGGAGATAAGTAACCATCTTAATGGTATTTTCTCACCATGTTGCATGCTGTTGGCATGCTGCCAAGAAGGAAGCTTTCTTTGGACATAGCAAGAATGGTTTGGTTTCATTGAGGTGAAGGAATTTTTCAAAGTTAAGGCAGATTACTGACAGTGGGTGTGGAATCTGTTTCAGAAGAAGGTAAAAAAAAAATAACAACAAAGTATGTGATGAGATTACCCCTTCTGAGCTATTACAAATCTAAACCTGCCTAGAGCCTGGAAGAGAATTTGTTTCAAGAACATTGAAGGAGTAGGTCCACCTGAATAGATTCTTCAAAGCCTGACTCAGTCTCCTCTAAAAAGATTTGGAAGATCTTGTAAGACTTTCCTTATTCGGGTGGTCCCACTGATTTTCAAGCTTCATTTGACTTTTTATGTCAATCTGTGGTTAATTTGGATTTTCTTTTCATTCTTTTTTTTTTAAGTTATAAAACAGCCTTAAAGGGAATTTTTAAAAATCATCCTTAATTTTCCTACACTAATACAACTATCTTAATTTTGGAGTATTTTAAATCTTTGTTTACCTACTTATTTTGTAATTAGCCATCACAGTAAATCTGAAACAGTTTTTTATTATAAACATTTCATTAAAGAAGAAATTGAAGATAAAGTAGTTAATTATATTGCCCAAAGTAACACACATAGTAAATGTTCAGATCGGGGGTAAAAATCAGGAATGACTCCAAACCTAGGCTCTAGTCACCCACACTCTACTATGGTGTTGGCCATACAACCTGGCATATAATTATTACAGGTAATATTATACACTATTTTTTAAATGTACTATCACTTAATAATAACAGAATGAAATTATGTCAACTGAAATTCACCAACCAACCTCTCAAGAAAACCGTAAAGACTTTGTCAACACTGAAGGCAGTGTTGTAGGAAGCAAGTCTCTGAAAAAGAGAGGAGAAAGAATAAACGTAGTTAATAAAAATGAGCTGTTTCCATTTGGGGGAATAAAAAATCTGCAACTTTATAACCAGACCAACCAAGACTCCTTACCATACCATTGCTGATCAGATTTTCCAAGTCACTTTTTGATCATTTGGCTATAAACCATTTTGTTGTTTGGGTCAATAATCCCACTATGTAGAATTCGGCACCATGGCTGTAAGTGTGGATGAATTGAAATTCATAGGAGAATATAAATAGTTTCCATACACTGTGCACGACATGCCGAAAAGGGGAGATTGTCTTTCCATTTGGGAATCGATGCCATGTGAAAGATGATCCATGACAGAGGAGGATGAGCTCTGCCTCCTCTTGAGCTGTGTGAGGAGAGTCTTTTTCACACATCTCCTCTCTAGAATACCAAAGGGAAGAAAGCCGACTTGGGCAGACTGACCGGCCACACTGGAGAAGGTTCGCACCAAGGGACTGTTCAGAACTCCAGCTCGGCACCTAATCAAGTTTGAAATGATCACAGTCTCGTCGCTAATTGCATTAATTTGCTTTTCTTCAGGCAGAATGGGGAAGCAGAATAGCAAACTGGCCCCCGAAGTGATGGAGGACCTGGTGAAGAGCACGGAGTTTAATGAACATGAGCTCAAGCAGTGGTACAAAGGGTTCCTCAAGGACTGTCCAAGCGGGAGGCTGAATCTTGAAGAATTTCAGCAGCTCTATGTGAAGGTAAGTTGTTTTTCAATCTCTTTCTTTTAAGACCAGAAAATATTGTCTTCAGGAAATGTAGCATCCCATAGAATTATAACTCCAAGTAGGCAATTTATTTCAACTCTGGTGTTTTTCCACCCAAAAAGGAAAATGGACATATTTTTATTGAAGTATAGTTGAAATACAATATTATATTGGTTTCACATGTACAACATAGTGACTCAAAAATTATATACATTACAAAATGTTCACCATGATAAGTGTAGTTACCATGTAGCACCAAAGGTATTACCAAAGTATTGACTATATTCCTTATGCTGTACTTTTCATCCCAGTGACTTATTTATTTTATAATTGGAAGTATGTACCTCTTTTACCTGTCCCCACCCCCACCTCCCCTTTGGCAACCATCAGTTTGTTGTTTATATTTATAAGTCTAGTCTCTTTGGTTTGTTTGCTCATTTGTTTTATTTATTTATTTATTTCCACTATAAGTGAAATCATATGGTATCTGTCTTTGTCTGATTTATTTTACTCAGCCTCATACTCTCTAGGTCCATCTATGTTATCACAAATGACAAGCTTTCATTCTTTTTAGGGCTGGATAATATTCCGTTGTGTTTTTTAATCCATTCATGTATTGATAGACAGGTTGCCTCCATATCTTGGCAATTGTAAATAATGCTGCAGTAAACATAAGGGTGCATATATCTTTTCAAATTAGTGATTTTGTTTTCTCTGGGTAGATACCCAGATGTGAAATTACTAGGTCTAGGGTATTTCTATTTTTAGTTTTCGGAGGAACCTCCACACTGTTCTCCCTTGTGGCTGCTGCACTAATTTACATTCCCACCAACAGTGTAAGAGGGTTCCCTTTTCTCCACAGCCTCACCAACACCTGATTTTTTATGTCTTTTTTCTACTAGCCATTCTGACTCGTATGAGATGATACCTCATTGTGGTTTTGATTTTCATTTCCCTGATGATTAGTGGTGCTGAGCAAGAGATGTGTTTTGTTTCACAGACACGTCATGCAGTTTCTGAACAAAAGAAGTAATTGTTCAATCAAAATACTGAATAGGGTTCAGAGGATGACAGTGGTGGTGAATGAACAGTAAAAATCTCAGATAATAGTGTTTGCTGATGATTATTAACAAGCTTCTAATACACTATGGTTTGGCTTGTTATAGGTATCTGTACCTCTCTCAATTAAAGAGAAAGTACCTAGGAGGGCTTTTTCACCAAGAAAGGTCCTCCTATTTGCAGATAAGGAAAAAAACATAGATTCTACGTCTGAGCATTTAGAAGAGGGTAGGGAGACCTGATATACATCCAGGCATCAAGGTCTACAACTCTTAACTCAGTATCTTGTACTGTTTACAAGCTAATCTTTCCCTGAACTTTAGATAAAATGGTTCCATGGAAGGTATAATTTCTACTGCAGTGGTATTGTTTTGATTTCTCTGAGTTTATTGGTTGTATTGGTATTTGGCAAGATCTGAGACATTCCATTTTATGTATACTTACATAATGCAAAGTTCGTGGAAAAAATGCATTGTTTTTTCTTTTTATAGTTTATGACTAAAATAGAAAATATTGCTTTCATCATTTAAGTGTACCAAGTGTCAAATTGAGCTATATGAACCATCTATTTGAATACATGTGTGGGGGATAATTGCACAAAATGTTAAGCATTGCCATAGTCTTCTGAAGTTGAACATTTCACATAGTCTGTGCTCCAGCAATTCCACCCTTGTACATGTACAAGAAGGGGCTTGTCTAAGAATGCTCATAGTTGCACTCTTCACAACAGCAAAACAGGGAACCATTCCAAATTCCCATCAAAAGGAGAATGGAGAATAAGCTGTGGTATGTTCCTACAGCAGTCAAAACAGTTGAACTGTAGCAACACTAAAACATTAAGTGCAAACAGTCTCAAATGTTTTAAATTAAACACAAATAAGTTAAAAATATATATCATACAACTACAAATAAATGCAATAAAATCATATAAGAAGGAAAGCAAGAAAGTGATGAACACGGGATTCAGAGTGAGTTGAATACAGTGGGAATAAGGCAAGGGATGAGATGGGGTACAGGCCCACAGTTAGCTGTAGATGGTGTCAAAGTCGTAACTGTGGTTCTGGGTGGTGAATTTGCAGGTGGGTGGTTGTTGCCTAGTTAAAAGCTCACTAACCCAACATGGACTACTGATGAATGTCAGGGACCCAAGAATATTATTATCCAAAGCTGAGCACCTGAGGGCCCCAGGTACATATAAAACTATTTCCTTAAGTGCGTGTGCAAAGGTGTGCATGTTATAAGATGTGACATTTCTAAGAAGATGTGAGTACAGTTGGCCCCTTGAACAATACAAGGGTTAGGAACAACAATTGACCCCACATGCAATCAAAAATCTGAGTATAACTTTTGACTTCACAAAACTTAATACTCCTAACCTACTATTGATTTTATGGTAGTAAGTAATAAAATAGACTTGTATTTACATGTGTTTTATGTATTCATGACATACCTAACTTTGCCTTATTTTTTTCAGTATTTCTAGGCTACACAGTTCACCTGTGATTTTTTCAAATCATCACAAATCTCAAAAATGTTTTCAAATACATTTACTGAAATAAATCCATGTGTAAGTGGATCTATCCAATACAATACATGTTGTTCAAGGGTCAATTGTAATTCACTTTTTGCATGTAGAGATCTTTCATAGAGAAGTGCTGAGAAATGAATTATTGTTCAATTGATATAAACTGCTTTTGCAGAGAAGTGTGATCACTTGCTTACATTATCATACCTCTGTGTGTAGTTTTCAAAGTCACATCTTCTATAATTTCGTCACCCAGGAGTTAGCCTGAACCTCAGAATTATCTTCACTCTCAGCCCCAAGGCAAGTACAGACAAATGAGATTTGTCACAGCCACTTCATATCACTGAAGGTCATGTAAGCTGTCACTCTGTGTTTGAGAGAACTCTGTGTGCCATATTCTTCACTACTTGTTTAAAATGAGAGGTGTTATGCCTTTGAAGAAATAATTGAAATGCAGGAAATGAGGTAATTCATTTATATTCTCAAGTACTAAGCACTGCAAAAACACTAGCCTCAAGATGGGGGGCCCTGTAAACATTAAACACAGCTCCACATTTTGTGGTACAACTGACGTATATGTACCAGCACAATCTCCCACCACCACCTCCCCCATTCCACCCCAGAATGGATTTTTTTTTTGTTTCAAGAATAGAATGTATGAGTTTCTGGATGGAATTTAGATTCGTGGCAGCTTTTTAACAGCCACATTCAAACTCAGCCTGTGCTCTTGTATCAGACAGAAAGCAGGGAAAGTCTTCCTCTCCTTCCAGAGTTGTCCAAAGACGTAATACAAAGGAGAATCACAGAGGAAATATGCCACGTACACAAAGAAAAAAGAAAGGTCTGATGGGCTAGAAGGGAGAGGCAGGGAGCAAGATGTAGATTATGTAAGAAGACCCAGGAGAGGAGCCGACTAGAAATAACTTCCCTTAATTCTGCTGAGAAGTCCAATATTCAGCAAAACACAGTCATTATCCTGGTAAAGAGGCACTTTTCAGTAGTATCTTCTCAGTGCAGACACTGAGACATCCTGGAATCCAGCCGAGCTAGCAGAACTGCCTTTGACCTCTGCCTTTCTGTCTGTGGGGTCAGTGAGGTGCCTCTGTAGTCACTGACCTAACCCATGTCAGGCTCCAGGAGAGTCACCTGGCTGTGTAGGGCCAACTCTGCTGAAGGTGTGGGGTGGGGGGGAGTAGAGAGCAGGAGAGGCCCCCTTGCAAGGCCAGGGGACACAAACTCTCAACTTTGGAAACCTGTTGTCTCCAGAATATAAAGGAAGCCCTTCATTAGGTCTGTGTCTAAAAATGTATAAAATTTTGGTTCAGAAAACTGAGCCATGTGACCAATGTCACAAAAAGAACGGAGGCAGGCTAGGTGTTGGGCACGCCGACCTACACTGTAGCCCACGGCCTTGCCCCACGGCGGCCCCTCGCCAGCCCCCTCCGGGCCTTTCCACCACACAGCTGCTGGAGTGATCTTTGCAAAACACAGATCTGGGGGTGGTCCTTCCTAGTGCAATACAGGTTTCATTCTGTAGTCATGTAGATGAGCCACCTGGTTTCTTTCAACATAAGACCCAGGGGCCAGCACAGAGCCTGCCACAGAGCAGGCAGCAGTGAGCACTTATGGTGTGAATCATATTAAAGCTGTCTGTGTTTCACCTTCTCAGAAAGCCCTGTGATTGAGACATACAGAAATGATAAAAGGCTAGTTCTCACAGGCTGATCAGGGAGAAGTGTTAGCACCATACAAGGCAGAAAGCCATTAATGTTTGTTGGGGGACAAGAGTGGAAAGAAGAGGTTAATTTCAAAATGAGATATTAAAGTAAAAAGTTAATTAATGCAGTGATGGAAGGAAGACTTTTCTCTCACCCTTTTATAAGATAAAATGTCTTTGAGTAGATAGTTTTTACTTTTTAGAAGCTTGGTACCACGTTTATTTTAAAATATAATATACTGGTGGAATTCCACACAGTAGGAAATGTTCTAGGCTTAAAGCATTGGAAATACGAGTCTATTTACCATAGTTCTATCGACGCAGCTACCCAGAGACGTGTATTAAACAAAATAAAAATCACTGGTATCATAGAACCAGGAGCACCTAAACATTTGATGATAAAATTATTTTAATAGAATAAGAAAGATTTTCTAGTTAATAAAGTATCATGACCATATTCTATAATATGGTTTGAGAATTTTACTCTCAAATTTGTTTTGTGCTTAAAAACCTGCTATCAGGAGTAAAAGTCATGTTGCCTGCAAGTTACAGCAAACATACAATAAATGTAGGATTTTAGTTATGTAATCTGTTTTGCAGAATATGAAATAAAACATGTGCATCTGGTTTTTCCCTGTTTACTGTTCCCTGCCTGTCCTCATTGGGCCTCCAGGTCCTTCCCTCTCTTTCATG